TCGAGTAACATTAGAACGAAAAAAACTGCTTCCAGATGTGAAACTTGAAGGTAATCAACAGCCATTTTCTTCCACCAAATTGAAGTGTTTCCGCAGCTAATTACTTATGGATGGAGTGGAATATAAGAATCAAAAACACTTTCCAGCAGCAACCAACATTCATTTTCTTCCAGAAAATTAAACAACGTGAAGAACAAGTAGCTCGTTTACGAATTAAATAGCTGAGCAAGAACGAAGAATCCGAACCTGTCCTCGCAATTTCATAGTCAAGACACTGCCCTTACGGACGCGCTCCCAAGGAAAGGCAACCAGCATCTTAAGCTTCACCAAAAAGCTCCTCCACGGGCCAAACTTCTCGAATTCGAATTCTCCACTTGGATAATCTTCATCGCGAGTTCTGCCGCCTTCACTGTTCATCGGAACCTCGTTTGCAGCATCTGCTTCTTCTCTATCCAGGCGCTTGGTATCCGATGCAGAGTCTTCGAATGCTCGAACAGAGAGGCAGCGGCGTGAGGCAGGAGCAGGAGAAAGAGCGAAATCGAAGCGGCATTGCAAGAAGGAAGACGAAGAAGAAAAGCGAAAAGGAATTGGTTTGGAGAGACTGAAAGAAAGGGTTCCCCGATTGATGGAAGAAACCAGATGGGGAGCTTGAAAATATGGAAGCAGCTTCGCCATTTTCTCTGGCCAAAGCCAACCAATTCTTCTCCACTCTCAGCTTATCGAACTCAACTCAGCAATGAAAGCATGATCTTTTTTTTTCCCCTTCAAGAGAAAGAGAGAGGGAGAGATTTATTGAATTGTTGGTTAATTTATGTCCTCATCTTTTATATTCACGCCATTAAATTATCAATTTATTAACAAAAAATATATATATATATTTATAATTATTTTTTAATTAAAATTTTATTAAAAAGCTGGACAAAAATATAATCATATTTATAGTTATAATTTAATTTTATTATGTGAAATTTGATATAAATAAATAAAGAAATTATTGTCTTTATTAAATCGAAATAAGGGAACAATAGAAATTAAAAAAAGATACCACGGGCAGATTTGTAATAAATGTATAATTAAAGGGCTAATGTGATAAATTCTTAACAATGGGGCTTCTAAAATTGGGCTCGAGAGCAACGTAGATGAGATCGTGAAATGGGCTTTTTTGAAATTTTCTCATACATGGGCCGGCCTGCATAAAAAGCCCATTGTTTCAAGTATTTCTATATATATAATGTGAACTGTCAATAAAGAATGTTTCATCATCAATATAAGTAAGTTACAATATTAATTTCCAAAGTTCATCACTAAAAGCAACATTTCATCTCGACATCTTTCAAAGATGATATTGGCACACCACAATTCAAGTCGTGGTGCTCCCACGTAGATTTAAATATCGCATTGTCAGATTTCTTCAGACGTGATTTGAGTATTGAATGTCGCATTGTTAGATCGAATTCCTTGAAAGGATTCTTTTAGTGATTGGCAGGGAGCAGGGAGTTAAGTTCATCCAAAACACTTAAAAGAGTGTTCAAACTTTCTAATGGAAGAAAAGCTGAGAGATGAATGAGCATCACTTTAAAAAATAGATTGATAATGTCACTTCAATTGTAATTTTCAACATAAAAGAAAACAAATCAGAAAAATTAAACAAAAGACAGAGGACCAATTTGCAAAAAAAAAAACAAAACAATCTAAAGTTGGTGTTCTTTAGATGCTGTCCTACTCCTACAGCTCAAAAAACAGAGCATTTACAGAACAAGGGTATGGGAAAAGAAATCCCAAAAGGAATTGGATCTGTTCAGTTTCCTTTCTGGTTCAGTGAAATGCAAGAATTGACCCAAAACCAAATCCACTGCTCCTTTCAGGGAAATACACGTAGATGAACAAACAAAAAAACAGCAGTAAAGGATACACAACTCATATTTTTCAGTTCAGTTTCAGCCTACAAGAAAGCATAAAGGAAAAACCAGAGAACAAGACAAGAAGAAGAAGAAGAAAAGGCAGCTTGGCTAGTTTCTTTTGCCCATCCAAATGCTCTTTCTTACCTTTGAGCTACTCTGAACCGAACTCTTTGGTTTTTGCCCCACCAAAACCAGCTTGTCTTTCACTTCCTTCCTCTCAGCTCTGTGCTTCTCCATTAATGGCTTCTGGTGTTTCATGCTCCCATGTCCTGCAAAAGGGTGATCTGGTTGATGGCTTGGGCCTGAAGAAGCATCAGAAGCCATGGAGTCATCACTATCATCTTGGTGATTTGCATGAAAACCTTTATTTTTTCCATATTCTACATCGTCATCTTCATCACCATCACTGGAATCATCTACAGGAGATCCAATATACATGGTCCAACCAGATTCACTGCTGTGACATTCTTCTGAAACTCCAACATTTTGGGAAGACTCCATAACAAGATATTTGAGAAGTTTAAGAAAAGAAGAAGAAGAAGAAGAATCAATAACAGAATTGGGGTAGGTTCTTGAATGGGGAAGCAGAATTTAGACACCTGATAAAACCCATTTTTTCTTTTCAAAAAAAGGAAAAAAGAAGAGTCCTTAATGGATAGATAAAAACCCTCACCGCACCACCTGGAAATCCAAAGGCAAATAAATTATCTGACTTTGAGTGAGCAGAAGACAGCTAGAAGCTGTCGATGAAAGGGCAATCCTTCTCATTGCAAAAGGCATACATGCTAAGGCTTATTGAATTTGAAAGGACAATGGGTTGGTTCATTTAGTCATTGGGTTCCTTAAGAGAAGATGGCAATCATCTTAACTCTTCTCTGCATTCAGTCATAATTAGAAAAGGTAGCTTTAAATGCAGAGAGATGGACAGGCTCAGGCTCAGTCTCAGGCCCAGGCTCAGGGATACAAAACTAGAGAGAATATAGGACTCATGTTCTTAAATAGGATTCAAATGAACCTCTTCCTAACCTTACCTTACCTATCTCACCTTCAAAAATGAAACCAATCAATCCGACTTGGAGTTAGGTTTCCAGTGTAAACAACCTGAGAAAAATATGTCGCACACAAAAAGAACAGGGAAAAAAATCTCTGCTTTTTTCTGTCTTCTTTCTATTTGCAGGTTCAGGTCCTCAGAAAACAGGATTGTGACTCATGTTTCAGGTTGACGAACGCGGTTGTTTGGTTGTTTTTTTTCCTTTTGTTCAATACAACTCAATTATTTGGTTCCATAAAATGTCTGTGCCTTATCCCATTTGGCAATCCAGCTCCTTGGAAATTGTCATTTCTGTTATCAAGGATTAATTCAAATCATCATGTGTATATATATATTAAAAACAAAACCTAACACTGCCCTTGAATTTAAACTTAAATGAACTGAATTAGAAAGGAAGCAAATGAACTGAAGAACAGTAATGATAAGTGAAATAACTGTGATCAGACAGATAACTCCCAGAATTTACTTCAGCCTTCACTCTTGAAATGACCATTTTTCTTTTTCATACTAAAAAAATGTAAATGATTTCCTCTCCTCTCTTTCTTTCTCTCTCTTCCATGTGAAAAGAATGTAATCAATCATCAAAAATGAACAAAAGGGTATCATTTTCTTACGTTATATCAGAGAATTTGATTGCCGGTCAAGATTAAACCGACTCAAGTGTTGCTTTCAAGGGGTTGGGCAACAACGATAGGTAGAATGGTCCATTTGAAGTTCAGAGTTTAAACAAAAAACATAGCTGGTTTTTTGTTGCATGTAGTTGTACATAATTTGGCAGAGATAATTGAGTAGTCCCATTAATGGGGACCTCATTGATAGTAAGAGCAGGAACAAAACGAAGTTAAGCGTTAAAAAATCCAGATGGTTTGGCCACCCCTTGCCCCCGACACATGTAAACATGTCTTAGTTGTTTCCCACTCTCTTCCTCTTTCACCATGGCTTCTTCTGTACACTCACTAGACAATGTATGGCCCATCTATTATTCTTGCTCTTTGTCTTTTTTTGAACCTTACACTGTTTCAATCCACTCTTTAGCTTCCACGTGAGAGGATTCAAGATATGGTTCTCTAATCAAGACAATGTCATCAAAGCTACACATTTGTTTCTCCCTCTCTCTTTCTCTCTTTTCGTATCACCTTTGGCAAGTTCTTTCTTTTTTAATGCTAAAACATGGCTCCATATTCACGTGAGGTAAGGAAACATAATGAGATCTTAAGTAATTTATTGTTCTTTTGTCTTGGATCACATCCTTTTTTGACTTAAGCTTCATGGGATGACTCAGACATTGCCTTTTTGCAGCTCGGTTTTCAACAAGTTGAGGTAATCTTTCTTCATTCCACTATATTATATCCTATGTTTGACCAAAATCTTCCTTTTTATATCATGATAAATGTGCAATAAAACTAGTACTTTCAGTAAATAGGATGTCTGTAATGGTTAAACCAGAAGCTATGTTAAAAGTATGACAAAAAAGATATGAAAAAAGCTCTTTTTTCATATCTTTTTCTGTATGTAAAAATGAGGGGAAACAAATAATGTACCTTGAAAGCCCCATTTTTAGTATTTTGTTAAGGAATATACATATAGTGCCTTTTTTATATAGCTAGCACCACATGCAAGTTGGAACTTTCTGCCCTCAATGGATGCAGTTGAAGAAGATGAAAAAGACAATTCAAAGATGTCCAAATCTTTGAATATTCATTATTCTAATGTTCTCTTTAGACCAATGAGTTACTTTTTAAAAGCTCATGGGCAACAATTGTATCTTAAAGTTTGATCTTATGTCCCTCCAATTCTGTCATTTTTCACCAAACTAGCTCACAATTCTAAGTACTCCACTAACCCCCACCCATGTGTTTGCTTACAGATAATCCACTCTTATATGGAGAGCGGCACTTAATTTATTCAAAAAGGTTTGGATTATTCAACCAAGGCATGCACAAAAAGAGCCCTAAATTCAAACCTGTCCTTTATGCTCATAGATTCTCCCAATTCCCATCTCTACCAACTTACTTCTCTACAAACTTGTTTATATTATATATATCACATAGGCATAAAAGTTTATGGGCGGTAACGTCAACGAGGAGAAAATTGGGATTTCCCCTCGAGACGTGTCGATGTTCGCCTCGCTCCTCCATTTGACTTCACACATATTCCCTTAGAGGCAGTTGAGTATTAAGAATTCATCTTGTTGTTATGCAGTTGGAGGTATAATTTTGGTGGTGTCTTGAAGTGATGTTGGTTACCTAATTTTCAAGATTATACCTATTTCCCATTTCCCCACAGACAACTGCTAACGTTGTATCCTTCTGTCATTAGGTGTAGAAATTTGCAGAAGCTTACAATGCAAAACAACTACTCCACAATCTACCATTTTCTTATGTGCAAAAGTAAACGACTTGAATCTCCACCCTATTTTATTTCTTGCCTAACTCAATGCACATTCAACCTCCAACAGAGTCAAAGAATTCAACACCATGAAACAAAGTTTGCAGAACCAAACTCAAGGTCATCCTTCTTTATTTTATTTCTTCTATCAGTAAGAATTATTCATGCCAGATGATTTTGATTTTCATATAAGCAATCAGTAACTTTTCAAATTTTCAGTTCCACTTTTTCTTTACGATATTTTCCTTTGAAGGGGGGAAAAAAAAAGGAAAAGATCATAAATTATTGTAGGAAAGTTTGTTCTGAATTTATTGTCTGTAGCATAATTTTATAGATACTGGACCAGGTCCTTACCCAGTTGCCCCACCTATGTGTGATCCAATGCAACACGGTCAGTCTCAGCCATACTCTTCAATTATACCTCCTCAAGGGGAAACCAAGTCTCAAATTGTAACTCCTCCAAGGGAAACCATGTCAAAAGGTGATGGGTTTTGCAGAGGGCTGTAAGTTCCCTTTCTCCCACTCTGTTCCCCCGCCCCCCCCCCCCCCCCCCC